AAGTTCCCATCCCCACTAACTTCCCAGCTGCTTTGTGCCTCTCCCAACACCCCTGGCTGCTCTAGGGGCCCCGTATCCCCTCCCTGCCCCAGACCTCTCTTCCTGCCTTACTCCCCATAACCCCCCAACCCATTTATCAGTCCAGTCCCCTTTGAATTCACAGGTGGCTCTGATATCAAGGGGGGCCATAACCCTGTGTGTGTGTGTGGATCCCCAGCTATCCCCTCTCTCCCACTCATGCCTATCCACCTCTTGGGGCCCTGTGGAGGGGGTAGAGGATCACTCTGCCCCCGCCCCACCCTGGCACATTAATGTCCTTGTGGCTGCCAAGGCAGCTTAGTGGATGCCAGGTTCTCTCCTTTATGCAGTGCCAGCCCTGCTGCAGGCGGGGAGTGGTGCCAAGGCTTGACACGCACTCCCACACTCTAGGCATCCTTTCACCCAGTGCCTTCTCAGCCTCACCCCGTCACAGCCTTTTAACCAGGGTCAGCACTTGGGGGGCTGATCCCCACACCCTGCCCTGCTCCACAGGGGGCAGTCCTGGGGCTCCTTGCCTGGCCAACCCGTGGGCAGACCGGGATTGGGGGAGGAAGGGAAGGGGGGCGGGTTGGAATGAGGCGAGGGAGGGGCATGAGGAGACTAGAGAGATGATGTTTGGGGTGATGGGGGGAGCAGGAGGGGAAGGGAAGACATGGGAGAGGGGTGTGCGGGGCTGGGGGGAAGCTGTGGAGCAGGCTCGGGAGCAGGAAGGGCGTAGGGGGGTGAGGGAAGGGGTTGGGGTGCTAAAGGATACCGGGGAGAGGGGCTGGGAGGGATAGCGGGTTTCCCTGCCCCGTACAGCGAGCCTTTGGCCTCTCTTCCTGGCTGCTCCCCCTGACTCCTTGTACGTACGGCCCCCGCCCGGACCCTGCTCTCTGGCGCCACCCAGCGCCGCTGCGCTTGTAAAGCGGATTCACTGACACTTTACATTTCTTGCCCGTTGGTGGGCACAGGCCCCGCCCCCCACAGCTAGGGAGAGGACCCAGGAGTCCTGGCCCCCTGCTTCTATCCACTGCCCCCACAGCCCGAGGAAGGGGAGGAGAGAAGCCCCCCCAAACCCCTGCCAGGTCAGACTCGGGAGTAGCCCGGGCTGGACTGACACCCCTCCCTCCAGCACTCTGCCCAGCTACAAGCGACCACGGCTTCTTCCGGCACGGCACGGCACGGCACAGGCCGAGATCGCGCTGCGCCTGCGCACTTCCTCTCCCCCCCCCTCCGGTCCGAAGTTCGCGCTGCCCGGACTCTAATTCACGCTGCCGGAGATGAAGTACGGTGGAGCCGGAAGCGGAAGCACGGCTAGGGCCTGTCCCCCCTGTGGGGTGGGGGCCAGACCATAGAGCGAGCGCCACGTCGGGTGAGCGCCAGGTCGGACGCCACCGAATCAGCTCAGGGGCAGTGTGACAGAGGAGCCGGACGCAGCCGACTCCACCTGCCTGGGGCAGCCGGGCGCGGCGTCTCGAGGCCGGGGGGGTCCCCGCCGCTGCTCGCCATGCGCGTGCCCCGGCCGGGCCCCGGACTCCTGGGTCCCCTGCTGCTGCCGCTGCTGCTGGCCGGCGGGTGCGGGGCGCTCTCGTTCCAGCTGCCGGCGCAGACCCGCAAGTGCCTGAAAGAGGAGATGCACCGCGACGTCATGGTGACCGGGGAGTACGAGGTGTCGGAGGCCGGGGCGCCGGGGGCCAGGACCGATCTCCGGGTGAGAGCCCCTAGGGATCCCCGCGCACCCCCGAGCCCCTTCCCCCATGGCTAGTGCCCCCGCGGGTGCCCTGCCCCCTACGCTCGCCATAAGCTGTGCACCACCCCAGGGACCCCCTTTCTTCTCCAAGGTCCAAGACTTACCACGCAGTTGTGTGATGTCCTCCCCCAAGAGGGACATCAGGGACCCCCGTCTCCCCATTGGACACCCCCTACTCCTGGGTGGAGGGGACACACTACACCCCTATCCTCCTGGGGAACAGGATCATGGTGGGCATTGGGAGCCTGGTCCGGGGAGATGGGTAGTTCTGTGGGGTCACAGTCTGTCCCCACCCCAGGTCACAGACTCCTCCGGCCACCTGCTCTACTCCAAGGAAGATGCTAAGAAGGGCAAATTCGCCTTCACCACAGACGACTATGAGATCTACGAGATCTGCTTCGAGAGCCACGGCCAGTCGGGTATGAGGTCTCACTCCTGGTGCAGGGATTCTGTGTCCTGGGGGGCATTCCTCCCACCCCACAACTCCCTGCCATCCTCATTTGCGGTCTCCTGCACTCAGCACGGCCCGGAAACTTGTGATCATGAGGGAGGTCTAGTGGTTAGCATTGAGGAGGGTGCTGGGAGCCAGGATTCCTGGGTTCTATTCCTGGCTGTGGGAGGGGAGTGGTATCCAGTGGCTACAGTAAGAAAGGCTGAGAACCAGGATTCTAGGGTTCTATCCCTGACTGGAAGGGAAGTGGGGTCATGCACCAGCTCTTCCCTCCCCTGTTACAGTTATAACTTCTTTCTTTCATCCTTCCCTCCCCAGTGGGTTTTCGAGTTCCTGACCAGCTGATCAGCCTCAACGTCAAACATGGAGTGGAGGCCCGGAACTATGAAGACGTGAGTAACGCCCCCTTTGAGTCCCCAACCCTCTGCAGCTGTCCCTCTGTCCTGTGTGTGATGGGGAAGGTGGGGCACCAGCAATCTCAGCCCAAGGACAGAATTGACAACATCCACCCAACTAGGCATGTATCCCCAGCTCTACTAAAGCCTGAGGGCCAGAATTCCAAGGGTTTCCTGTATAAACAGCCCCCCGTGCCCCAGCCCAGAGGCATCCACATCTCAGCATGGAGCGAGGGATCCCTGTATGAACAGACCCTGTGCCCAGTCCAGAGATGGTTGTGTCTCACCACTGAGCAAGAGATCCCTGTATAGACAGCCCTTATGCTTTACCCCAGAGGTGGCTGTGTCTCAGTGTGGGGTGGAATTCTGCATCTCATTCCTACTGTCCCCACACCCAGATTGCCAAGGCAGAGAAGCTGAAGCCCCTAGAGGTGGATCTGCGACGTCTTGAGGACCTTTCTGAATCCATCGTCAAGGACTTTGCCTACATGAAGCAGCGGGAGGAGGAAATGAGGGACACAAATGGTGAGGAGGCACCCATGTACCCACTAGACCCCGCTCTCCTCCCAGGGCTGGGGTAGAACACAGGAGGAAGGGCCTGGGAGCCAGGACGCCTGGGTTCTTTCCTGTGAAGTGGCTGGAAGCCACTTGTGATGATGCTTTGGGGTCCCCTGTTCACCCCATGTCTCTCTCTCTCTCCACAGAGTCCACCAGCACCCGCGTGCTCTACTTCAGCATCTTTTCCATGCTGTGTCTGGTGGGCCTGGCCACCTGGCAAGTCTGTTACCTGCGCCGCTTCTTCAAGGCCAAGAAGCTCATCGAGTGAGCAGCCCCTTGGGTGTGTCTGCCTCTCTCACAGGCCATCCTGCGCCAGGCTCCCTTCCTGATGGCCCTAGAATCCACATCCAGCCTCTCTCAGCTCTAGTGGGAAGTGGCGCCTGCAATGGACATCTCTGCCCATCAGGAATGGATTCTGGTGGGAAGAGGGGGTTCTGGCCCCCCAGTAGGGATCCAACTACCCCCATTTTTAAGGATCTTGTAGTTAACAGAGGATCCAGTAGTGATGGCACCGTGATCAGGGGGATTGGGTTGTAATTATTTTAAAATAAATAGTTAATTGGGCTGGTGGCTTGTGATGTCATTTTGTGAGGAAGCAGGGGGGGGAAGGCATCTTCCACCCCACCCCCGATTCTATTGGGAGCCCCATCCCATCATGTCCCTGGGATTGCTCTGGAGAAAACTATCCCCTGTGTGCACTGCCCGCTGGGATGTGGCATGACAGATGTGTTCTGTCCCTGGCTTGAGGAGGGGAGAGGCTAGCGGATTAGAACATGGGGGGCGGGCAGCAACACTGAGCATCAGGTCTGCTGGTTCTGCTCCTGGCTCTGCTACTGACCCTGATATAGGATTCCCAGAGGGTTTATTTGTCTGTAACCCCTCCCTTCCCCCAGCTGCGCCTGGATCTGGGCTCCTCCAAGGTTCCTTTTGGCACTCCCCTAAAGTCTCCACTGTGTCTAACAGTGTTGATTTGAAGTGTTCCTTCTCCCTGCCTCCCCTGATCTTGGCTGGATCCAAATCACCCATTGTTGGGGGTAAACTGCCTGGAACTCCTCTTGCTGTCTTTGTGTCTCCTTTTTTTTTTTTTTTTTTTTTTTTTAAATCCTTCCTCCCCCAAACTCCTGCCCCTCCATCTGCTCTGGAGGGAAGTGATGTGGCTCAAGCGGACCTGCTGTGGCCACTGTGTGTGTGTGCTGCAGGTTTTAGTGCTGCTCTCCGGGAACGGATCTATTTACCTCAGGTTCGTATGCAGCTCCCATTACCATTGTAGCTGGCCGAGTGTGCAAGGTCCTTGCTCTCTACACAACAGCATTTCTCGCTTTGAATGCTGTGGCCGGGCAGCTCCACAATGTTGGGGACCGTTCTAGGTATTTGTGGGCTTTTTTTCCCCACCTTCCTCTGAAGCATCAGGGATTGGCCACAGCTGGAGACAGGACACCAGCTGGGGTGGGCCGGCCTCTGAGGTGGTTCAGCAATTCCTCTCTAGCTACCTGGCTGGGGGTCTTGTTCACATCTCAGGGTCCAGCTGATGGCCAGATTTGGGGTCAGGAAGGAATCTCCCTGGTCAGAGATTGGTAGGGAGCTTGGCAGTTTTCTCCTTCCTCTGCAGCACGAGGCACGAGTCGCCTGCTGCAATCACCTGGGCATGGCTCACCTCTGCAATTCCTTGCCAGCGCAGGAGTCTTGGGCATACAGGGGCCCCTCAGTTTCTTCTCTATCTGGGGCACGCAACAAGTTAATCCCCTGAGGACTGAAATGATTTGGTCTAACTAAGGTCCTGGGGCTCAATACAGAGAACTAGGTGCGATTTAATGGTTTATGATAGACAGGAGGCTCAGGATAGAAATATAGGGTTGGCATGGACCTCACGCAGTCATCAAGTCCAGCCCCCGTGCTGAGGAAGGACCAAGTAAACCTAGACAACCCCTGACAGGTTTGTCCAACCTGTTCTTAAAAACCTCCAGTGACAGGAATTCTGCAACCTCCTTTGGAATCCTGTCCCAGAGCTTAACTATCCTCTAGTATCTGACCTAAATCTCCCTTGCTGCAGATTAAGCCCATGACTTCTTGGCCTGCCTTCCGTGGACATGAAGAACAATTGATCATCAACCTCTTTGTGCCAGCCCTTACCATATTGGAAGACTATCACGACCCCCTCAATCTTTTCTCAAACCTAAACATGCCCCGTTTTTATTAACCTTTCCTTACAGATCGGGATTTCTAAACCTTTTAGCATTTTTGGTGTTCTCTTCTGGACTCCCACCAATTTCTCCACATTTTTCTACAGTGCTCCAGCTGAGGCCTCACCAGTGGTGAGTAAAGCGGGACAGTTGCCTTCTGTGTCTTACATATGACACTCCAGTTAATACACCCCAGAATTATGTGAGCCTGTCTTTGCAACTGCATCATATTGTTGTCTCGTTCAATTGGTGACCCCCTATGGCCCCCAGATCCTTTTCAGCGGTACTAGCGCCTAGCCATTTTATAGTTACACATTTGATTTTTTTTTCCTGCCTGAGTGCAGTACTTTGCACTTGTCTTTATAGAATTTCATCTTGTTAATTTCAGATCAGTTCAATTTGTCAATGTAAGTTGGAATTCTCATCTTGCCCTCCAAAGTACTTGCAACCACCCCCCTTGGTGACATCTGCAGATTTTTATAAACATGGTCTGCAATCTAAGTAACTGATGAAAATATTGAATAGTGCTGGACCCAGGACTGACCCCTGTGGGATCCCCCTATATACAACCTCCCAGTTTGACAGTGAACCACTGGTAACTACTTGAGTATGGTTTTCAACCAGCTGTGGTCTAGAATAAATTACTATAAAGTGGCCGTACATTTCCCTAGTTTGCTTATGAGAATGTCATATGGGACTGTGTCAAAAGGATTACTAAAATCATGCAACCGATGAAGTGAGCTGCAGCTCACGAAAGCTTATGCTCAGATAAATTTGTTAGTCTCTAAGGTGCCACAAGAACTTTTCTTTTTGCGAATACAGACTAACACGGCTGCTACTCTGAAACTAAAATCAAGATATGACCTCTAATGATTCCCTGCAACTCCACTAGGCCAGTAACCCTGTCAAAGAAGGAAATGAGATAGTACCTGTCTTTAAAAAGGAGAACAATGTTTTTCCATCTCCAGTCTTCTGGGACCTCCCCTTTCCTCCATGAGTTCTCAAAGATAATTGGTAATGGTTCTGAGGTTGTTTCAGCTAGTTCCTTAAGTACCCTGGGGTGAATTTCATCAGGCCCTGCCAACCTGTTCTTTCCTTATTGTGGCTTGCATGTCCTCCCCCATTTTATTAATATTAATTGTGTTGAGTATTTGGTCACCATTAAGCTTTTTAGTGAAGACTAAAGCAAAATAGGCATTAAACGCGTCAGCCTTCCTGATAGCAGGTAAGGAGAGTCAGTAACTGATGCTAAGTAGTGGGCCTATACCTTCCTTCATGTTTCTCATGCTTGTAATTTATTTAAGGAACAACTTCTTATCGCCTTTTATGTCCCTTGCCAGCTGTAACTCATTTTGTGCCTTTGACTTTCTTAATTTGTCTTTACACGTTTGTGCTGTTTGTTATACTCCCCCATAGCCATTTATCTCTGTTTCTGCTTTTCGTAGAATTCCTTTTTGATTTTTCAGGTGATGTAAAGAGCTCCTGAAGGAGCCATAGTGGCCTTTTCCTATTGTTCTCATCTTTCCTTTACACTGGGATAGTTTGCTGTTGTGCCTTTAATATTGTGTCCTTGAGAAACTGCCAAATCTCCTGAACTCTCTTATCCCGTAGATTTTCTTCCCACAGGACCTTATCTACCAGTTCTCTGAGTTTGTTAAAGTCTGCTTTGGTGAAGTCCGTGTTCCTTATTTTGCTGCTCTCTGCTCTTTCTTTCCTTAGAGGTATGAACACATTTCCTGATCACTTTAACCGAAACTGCCTTCCACTTCTAGGTTTGCTACCACTTCCTCCCTGTTGGTGAGACTCAACTGTACAATGGCTTTCCTCCTGGTTACTTCCGCCTCTTTCTCAAACCCAAGCTGACTAGATGATCTGATGGACCCTTCTGAACTCTTCAGAAACGGACCCAGCTGTGAAATTGACCTTGAGCTGGTCTCTTACTCAAAGCAGAACAGCAGGTCTAATTCCAGCCATCAGCTCTGGGGAGGAATCCTTCCCCCACTGGCATCCAGCCCCATGGGCAGGATCAGGGTCTTGGAGTCATGAGCAGTGACTGGCAGCATGGGAGAGTAGTGGGGACTTTGATGGTAGCTAAGCTGTGTCCCCACTTGTCACAGAGCCACAACGCTGACCTATATTAAAAGAGGGGTAATTTTATGAGGGTTCCATTATTTTTCTTCCCCTGATACTGTTCAAATGCAACCCCTCCCAGAGCCATGCAGGGAACTCTGTACTGCAGCCTCTTGCAGTAGGGGGGATTTGTGGGGTGCCTGCTGGATTATGGGGCTCTGTGGGGCAGGGAGGGGATGGACATCTTAGGTTCCACAGAGTCATCTTGCTCCACTGCACCCTCAAGGGATGGTGTTGCCACAGCTTGGAGGACAGTTGGGAGGAGCAGTGTGGGGATGCACCCTGCTGGTAAAGGAGAGAGAGTGACTTAAGTCAGTGTGGCAGCTGCTCCCCCAGGAAGATCCCCACAGTGATGATGGTGAGGTCCAAACTGAGGCTCTCAAGGGGGCTGTAGGAGCAGGTGCCATCTGGCTAGACCAGACGCAGTTCCAGCCCTGTGCTGTGTAGGAAGGCAGCCAGGGCCCTGCAGGGTGGAGAACTGAGGGCTAGCAGCATGGGGGGTTCTCCCTAAGTAATTCACCACTACGACTTGTAGTGAGTCAGGGCACCCCACACAGGGCTCGGGCCAGTACTGGTCACCCTCCCACTCTTCTGAGGGATCGGGCTATGAGGGGGCCCTTGCCTCCTCTTGCGATCAGGCTGGTACCAGGTATCCCCCAGGGATCAGATAGTACGGCCCCACACCCTGCAGTGATCAAGGCATTTCTCCCCACCCGCCATGTGACAGGGTGGCAGCTGGGAAGCATAAGGAAAGGTGGTACTTCCCCACCTGCTCTGTGACTATCTCTGTCTGGCAGGTTGGGGGGCCCAGGCCACAGGCTTCGGGCCCAGGAACTCAGTGAAGGCGAAGGACTTGGGGTGCAGCACCCAGCTTTGCCAGATGAGATCTGGGGGCAAAGAGGGGAGGATGTGAGGGGGGTTCTCAGTCACAGGGAAACGGACTGGGGCTTTTGGTCTCTGCAGAGGGGCCTTCAGGAATCAGGAGGCCTATGGGGGTCAGCAGGACTAGGAGGGAGAGGAGTAGGGACTGGAGGGATGGTCTCTACATGGGGGTCCTTTGGGGCCTGTGGAACTCGGGGAGGGGAGGGGTGTGTGTGATAGGAGTGGGGGGACCAGATGTCTGGGGTCTGCAGAGAGAATGTAAGGGGAGGTTATAGACAAGTGCACCCTCAAGGCAAGGGGCAAAGCTAGGAATTCTGGTGTCCTTCCGCTCAAACCACTAGATACCACTCCCAGAGCCAGGATAGAACCCAGGAGTCCTGACTCCCTGCTCTAATAGCTACACTCTGCTCCCCTCCCAGAGCCAGGATAGAACCCAGGAATACCTGGCCCTCGTTGGCTGTTGGGGGAAGGATCCAGTGGTTTTACCAGGTAGTGAGAGCAGGGAGCAGCCCTGCTAGTGGATCAGCAGCATCTGATTGGAAGATATCTCTGCAAACACACAAACGGGATCACCTGATCAGTTACCATGGAGTGGGCGAGCAGCAGCCAATGAGAGGGGAGTGTAACTCATTCCAGTGCTGCCCCCCCACTCCTGAGAAGGGGACAGGCCTGAGGGGGGCAAAAGGAAGGCAAAGGAAGGATGGGGGTACAAAGGGGGAAGCAGTGGGTCACTGGGAGGCGTACAGGGGAGGGGGGAATTAATGTGAGGGTAGGTGGTTGGGGGGCTTTGTGGGGTGCAAGGGGGGAGGGTATCACTCCAGTGCTGCCCCCAGGGGGAGGGGACTAGAGGGTGGGGCTGTAGGGTGTGTTCCAGCTGAGAGGGGAGCAGAGGGTGTCACTCAGATGCTATCCACAGGGGATGCTGGGAGCCCTGTGCTGGCCTTGACCCAGGCCACCCGCAGCTGCCCCCCCCCTCAGGCCCTGGGATTTTGGGGGCTCAGTCCAGTCACAGCAGCCAGAGAAGTGTAGCCCCTTAGACAACACAACAGTACTACAAAGCAACGTAACACGATCTCCTGCACTACAACACTGCTACACAACTACACACCACAACAACACAACACTGCTACACAACATACCACAGCTACACAACCCCTAAACAACAAAAACACCACAACACAAGAACCTACCACAGTACTACTACACAACATAAACAATCCTGTGCAACACACCATGGCTACAAACAGTGCAACATAACTACACACCACAACCACCACACAGCCTTGCTACATGACTACACACCACAACACTATTATACAACATACCACAATACACAACACAACAGTTCTGTACCATAACCCCCTACACAACATCACAGTACTGCTATACAACATCATCCTCATGGGGTGAGGGCCTACCCCCTGCAGCTGGAGAATGACAACATAACACTGCTACACAACTACACACCATAATGCCCCTACACAACACAATACAGCACAGCTACATAAAAAACCAACTACTCAGCACCCCCCGCCCAGCACACCTCTGCTACATAAAAACACAATACCCCCACCAGCTGGGGAGAGAAAACTGTGACAACACAAACAGACCAGAACTCCCTACACAACACAACATTCCCCCCCCCCACACACTTGGGCCTGCTCCCTGCAGCTGGGCAGACAACACAAGAACAGATGTCCCTCAATCCCACCCCCGATCCCAGCCTTGGGATCCCCCCACTAGCTCTGCTGGTGCCCCTCTATCCTGACCCGCAGCCCACCCTGCTTCAGTGTTGGAGGCTCTTTCTGAGTCCAAAATGCCCCTAAAGCTATAAGCTCAGCACCACTCCCTGCTCCCCGATCAGGAGGTGCCCTGGCACTGAGCCCTGGGAGAAGGGAGTACCAGAGCGCTGCTGTCTCTGGGGGCAGGAAGGGAGGAGGGAGTGTAGCACTGAGTGATCTGGGCCCTGCAGAGATGGGGATTGGGACCCTGAGGAGGTTGCTCTGCCCCACAGGGATTGTGACCCATGTTGGGCTGCAGCAGCAGGAAACAGACTCATCACAATCAGCTGAGACTGGAGTCCCTTGGCTCTAACAACACTTCCCTCCCAGAGCTGGGCTAGAACCCAGGAGTCCTGGCTCCCAGCTCCCTCCTGCTCTAACCCACTATACCCCACTTCCCTCCCAGAGCTGGGCTAGAACCCAGGAGTCCTGGCTCCCAGAATTGAACTCAAGCTCCTGGGAGCGCCAAGCCATTCCCATCCCCCTTCACCTGCAGTTGAGGGTCAGGATGCTGATATCTGATGGGGCCCCCTGGTCCTGGTCCATGGGGGGAGGGGCGCAGCAGGTAGACCAGATGGCCCTGCACAGCAGAAGAGTGAGCAGGGGCATCATGGGGAGCAGTGGGTACGTGTCCTGGGGGATGGAGAGCAGCCAGGGACAGGGTGTAGGGGAATCTGGGAGTGGGGCAACTGGGCTGGATGAAACCCTTTTATAAGCCACTTCCAGCACGGACAGACCTGACCTTGGCATATTTCACACAGGACTCCCCCACTCCAATAGGGCCATGAAGGGAACATCTGTCCCAGCACTGCTGAACACACCCACCTCCATCCCAACCCACAGGCCCCTGCTCTCCCAGCCCCGGGCCCAATCCTGACCCACAGGCCCCTATTCTCCCAGCCCCAGGCCCAATCCTGACCCACAGCCCCCTGCTCTCCAAGCCCTGGGCTCCCCATTCACTGGTGAATCAGGCACCATGTTTCCTGAAGTGACTGAGATTTCAGACCTTTCACACTTATAATCCCTCTACCTTCCCGCACAGGCCCTGGGTCTGGGACCCTTAAAACACTGCAGCTGCTCAACTAAATGAGCCCAAGTGGGGAGCAGGAGGAGGGATTGGGAGCCTGGGGTTCTGGGGATAAATGGGGTCTGAAGCTGAGGAGTTGTCATGGGGGGGCAGTGGCAGAGTCAGGGGGAACCCAGGGCTGGGATAGCAGGGGGCTGCTTGTGTCAGGATGAAGCACAGAGCCCTGTGGTGCTGGGTACAATGAATGAAATCTGTCAGGTGATTAGCTGTTTGGAAGCTCAGTGCCTGCACCTGTTCAAGGCTGCAGTGGGGTGGGATGGACTCAGTCACGTCTCTGATCAAGTCCTGCCTGGCTAGCTAGGGTGGGGATTCAATAGGGGACACTTTCCCCTCACAATCAGTGCTGACCCCAGTGCCCTAGTAGACCTGACAGGTCGCTGAGCTGCAGGGGGGCTCAGTAGGGGGTGCTATGTGCCTCATCTCTCCAGTGCAGTGTTACCTGGAGGTCATGGCTGATCCTTTTCCCTGGACTCAGGGTGCAGACCCAGGCATCCAGGCTGGATTCCAGCATGGCCAGGCCAGCCCCAGACAGAGGTTCTGTGCTGTGGCTGCCATAAGCATCTTTGTTCCTGAGGTCCCTGGATTCTGGAGGACTGGTACCTCCCATGGGGGTGGGAGGTCACCAGGAGATGGGGCCTTGGGCTTAATGTAGCAGAGCAGATGAGTGATAGGAATGGATGGAACAATACCCCATTGTCCCCAAATCTGTCCCCCTCCGTGGTGCAGACCCTGAGGGCACAGGAGCAGGTTTGATGCTGCTTGGGGGTCTGAAACCCAACCCCCACACCTTGGATTCCCCACCCCCCATCTCTCCCCGTCCCCGGATCTCACACCTGCAGCTCCTCTGCTCTGTGGTTTCCGTCACTCTTCTGCCTGCCCTTGCCTATATAACCCCCCCACAGGATGCTTGGGCAGGCACAGAGCAGCTACTGCCATGGGGCCTGGAGTCCTGAGTCCCTGCCTCCTGCTGCTGGGGGTCTGGGTCTGTGCCCTCCCAGCTGGCTCTGTCCTGCCCCCTGAACTCAGCAAGGTAAGGGATGGAGGACACACCTGGAGGGAGTAGTTTTGGGGCAGAGTGGGCCTGAAAGCCAGAGAAGGACAGAGAAGACACCGCGTGTCTGTGCCAAGAGCCATTGGCTACTGTGCTGAGACCCAGCACCTTGGTGCATGCATGGCGAATCCAGGGACAGGAATTGGAGCCAGCACCCTCGGGACAGGAAGGTCCTTTAGCCATTCCCCACCACTATAGGCCAGTCTGTGCCTCATGCTCCTTGCACACTCACATGCCATCCTCCGCATTCTCCCCCGTGCTCCACGTGCTACCCCCCCAGACACCAACACACACTCACCCAGATCGGTATGTGCCCCCATCCATCCCAGACATCAGTGGGCTCCACTCTACACTCCAAAGCAGGGATAGCCAGGGGCTGGGGATTGAGGGCCATGGGCAGAGCTTGGAGCAAGCGCAGAGCCCAGGGTTAGGCTAACAGGGGGCTGGGGGAGAGGATTGGGGGGCACTAGCAGGGCTGTGGGTGGGGGGAGCCCAGTGGTAGGATAGCAAGGGGCTGTGGGTGCGGACTGGGGGGCACCAGAAGGGCTGTGGGTAGCCGGGGCTGGGAGTGGGGGTTGAGGCAGGGGCACTGGCTGTTGGGATGCCCCTTTGCTGCCCACCATCCTGCTGGTTTGTCCATTTCAGGCTGAAGTGACTGGAATGTTCAAGGATTTTATGATTCAGTTCAACAGAACCTACAGGAGCCCCGCAGGTGACAGACAGGGAGGGTAGGGGGGGGGCTGTCGGTGTGGGGGGCAGGCAGCTCTTCCTGGAGGCTGTTACCATGGGGAGAAGGCGGGGGGCAGCAGAGGGATGGATGGGGCTGAGGCGGGAGTGCACAGACCAGCCCGATCCCCTTCTCCACGCCTCTGTGAGCAGCCACCTCTGAGTCTGGCCTGCCCGCGGCTGGTGTGAGCTGCCTACCCTGTGGCCGCATGCTCCCCTCCCTCCAAGTCCCAGGGCCGCATGAGGGCGGGGGTGCTGCTGTGTCGCTCTTTCCGTCCCTCTGGTTTCACACCCAGCTCCCTGTGGCTCGGCTCTGCAGCTAGCAGCGGAAAGAGGCGCTGGACGGGTGGAAAATTCACGCCCCCGATTTGTGCTGGGGGGTGGGAGGGGCAGGATGTCCGATGCCACTGGCTGGGGTTGTCGTGCCCCCCAGTACTCGTGACCCCCCCATCTCCCTCCAGAGCAGCACAGACGCTTTCGGGATCTTCACGCGGAGCCTGCTTGCGGCGCGGCGGCTGCAGGAGACGGAGCGGGGCACAGGGCAGTACGGGGTGACCCGCTTCAGCGACTGGACAGGTGGGGAGTGACCCCCGCCGCCCAGCACCTAACCAAGCGCCGCACCCCTCTCCCCTGCAGCTGTGTACCCCTCCCTTCCCCTGCCCCCCACTGCTCTGCACCCCCTTCCCCTGCCCCCCCTACTCTGCACTCCTCCCTTCCCTGCCCCCACCGCTCTGCACTCCTCACTCCCCCTTCCAGCACCCCCTCAGCACCATCTCCCTCTGTCTCCCCAGATGAGGAGTTCCGGGGGATGTTCTGGAGCCCCCCGCCCCATACCATGCACCAGGACCCCCGGCGCCCGAGGAAGAAATTCCCTAAGTCCTGCGATTGGAGGAAGGCGGGGGCTGTGACCGCCGTGAAGAACCAGGTAGTTGTGGGATGGGTGGGTTGGGAATCCCCCAGACAGACAGTTAGATGGGGCAGGACAGGGGGTGCCATGGGGGGCTTAGTAATGACAAAATCATTCCACGCCCCCTTCCCCACTGCTCACCCCAGTTGTCGTCCCCTCCCTCAGCTGGGGCATTGGGGACAGCGCAGAGGTTGGGGAGAGCGCCCCCTCCTGCCCCACAGCACAGCGCCTCCTAGTGCCACGTAGGGCCTCACCCCTCTCTCCGCAGGGCCAGGAGTGCCGCTCCTGCTGGGCCTTTGCTGCCGTCGCCAACATCGAGTCACTCTGGAACATCCACTTCCACCAGCCCCGGAACCTCTCGGTGCAAGGTAGGGACTGGGGGGTGCCCCACCCCCTTGACTGGAACAGGGCAGGGCACCCCAGCACTGCCCTGCTGTGTGCAGGTGAATGGGGCACAGAGGAGGGGGCGCCTGGGGATGTTCTAAGCGCCTCCCCCTTCCCAGCCCAGAATCCCTCTGTGTGTGTGTAAAGTACCCCCTTTGTTTCCTGTCCCAAACTGGGAGCTTGTAACCCTTGAGGGACCTGGGAGCAGGCTGGGTGTGTGGGGTTTACAGGGACCATGACCCCATGCATTGGGTTTCGTATATTTGCACCCCATCTGCAATCACTGGGGTGGTGGCCTGAGGACAGCCCCACCACAGACTTGCCTCCCTGTAGGCCTGGATCCCCTCCCCAATCCCCAGTCTACTGGACGCTGAGCCCTGCCTGTGGAACTCTCCCCCACCAGATGTTAAAGCAGGGGGTGGCAGGTGCTGGGTCTCTCCATCCAGAGGTGGGTTGATCACCCCACTGGGAGCCGCTGTGGGATGAGCCTGTGTGCGCCACCCAGCAGGAGCAGGATCCCAAGGTCTGACTGGGGTGAGTGGGAGATGGCTTGGTGCTCACCCACTACTTCCCTTGCAGAGGTGTTGGACTGCAGCTGGTGCGGAGTGGGGTGCAACGGGGGCTACGTGTGGGATGCCTTCACTACGGTGCTACACAAGCGTATGTAGGCACTGGAGGGACGTGTGGTCCTTTGCCCTGCAGGCAATAAACCCCCCACATTCCCCTGGACTGTCCCCTATTCACCCCTCACAACTGTTTACTGTGAGGATATTTTAGTGCATGGAGACTCACTCTGACTCAGACTGGGGCCCCCCATCGTGCCAGGCACTGCACAGACCCTTACCCAGATTCGGGCCTGTCACCACAGGTGCTGCACAGACCCCTTGACTGAGATTGGGGCCCCCAGCATTGTGCAGACCTCAGCCCAGTCTGCAGTCCCCATCACCAGACACTGCGCAGACCCTGACCGAGATTGGGGGCCCACATCATGCTAGGTGCTGCATGGAGCCTGACCCAGACCAGGAGCAATCTTCCCAATACTGTATATGGAAGGGAGACCCCTCCTCATTCCAAGACCCTGCTGTGGCCCCACTCTTTGTGACAGGTTGAATTTGGGGGGAGGGGGTTTACTCTGATCCTTGAATCCAGAACAGGGGAAGGATGGAGCAGGGAATGAGGCACTCTGGGCCCATCCCAGACCTTTCACATACACTCCCTCCCAGGTGGACTGACCAATGAGATTGCCTACCCCTACACAGGGAGACAGGAGAAATGCCATAACCTCAATAAGTATGAGCCGGCTGCCTATATCCAGGGCTTCCAGACACTTCCTGGAGATGAGGAGGGTGAGGCCTGTGGGGAGAGGGGTTGGGGTGGGGCCAGCACTGGGGACAGGGGGGAGTGGGCCATCTAGGATGGAGTGGTGGGGGCAAAGGGAGCAAGTGAGGGGAGTGGAACAGGATTAGGGGGTAACAAAGGGGACTGGGTGGGAGGGGGAGAAGCAGGGCCTGGGTGGGGGCAGAACTGATCAAGACCTGGCCAGTTTCCAGGCAGCTGTGCCTGGGGTGATGTGTGTGAAACCTACAAGGGGCTGGTTAGTTTCATGCTTCCCCCTGGGGGAGCTCTGAGCAGCAGAGGGGGAATGTGAGGGATGCAGAGGGCCCAGAGGACACAGGGAGGGGCAAGGGCCAATGTAGCCAGTGTGTGGGGACAGCAGCAGCCTGGTAGGGCCATGCCTGGGTCAGGGGTGTTTGTTCCTGGGTCCTCCTCCCCACCCAGTACATTTGGGTTTCCTCTTGTAGAAATAGCTGCACACGTCGCAACTGAGGGCCCAATCACAGTTACCCTGAACTCAGCTGCCATGAAGGTACGTGCCTCCCAGTTGTAGCAATGCGGGAGAAGCCTTCTGGCTACTCAGCCCATCCCATGGTGACCTGCCCACTAACCCCCCTCCCCCCGACTCACTTTCTACTCATTTTTGTGCCTCTGCAGCATTATAAAAATGGCATCTCAAAGCCCTTGGTGAAGAACTGCAATCCAGACCAGGTGGATCATGTTGCCCTGCTGGTTGGCTACGGGGATGGTGAGTGGAGATGGGCTGTACAAGGGTTTGGATTTGGGTGAGATGGGGTTAAATGAACTGGGGGCTTGGCAGGGGGCTCAGCTGTCAAAAGCACTCTAAGACCACTGTGCCTTTCTCTTCATCAATTAATTGCAGTAAAGGGAAGGCAGTACTGGGTCATCAAGAACTCCTGGGGGGAAGACTGGGGAGAGAAGGTGAGTGGGGAGTGTATGTGGCTGCCCACAGGGCAGTGCTGTCTGTGGGCGCGTGGGCTGGTTTTGTCTGAAGGAGGCTGTGCTGTGGGATCCTACAGAGATGGCCTCTGGGTGGGGTGCAGGGACCATTTAAACAGGGATCCCCTGCCTAACACTAAGACACAGCCACCACTGGGGTGAGATGTGGGCTTTTATTATACGCTCCCTGTCCAGGTTCAGACCCCGTTCCAGTTTGATGCAAAGGCTGAGTGAGCATATGTCTACACTTAAACCGCTACCACGACACAGTTGCATGGCCACCTCCACCAATGGCAGGGGTTCTCCTGTCACTGAAGTTCATCCACCTCCCGAGAGGCAAGAGCTAGGCTGACGGAAGAATTCTTCCATCCACCTAGCACAGGCTACTGCAGGGGTAGGTCGGCACTGCTACGTCTCTCAGGGTGTGTGGATTTTTACACCCCCGAGAGATAGAGCTATGCCAATGTAAGTTCCCAGTGTAGAGCAGCCCTGGGTGAGGAAAGGCTGTCCAGCACCATCTGTCCCTAACTGCGTGTCCCCTCGGCAGGGCTATTACCGTCTCTATCGCGGCAGGAACGCCTGTGGCATCACCATGTTCCCTGTAACAGCCACCGTCAACCGCATTGGGGTCCTGGGACATAAAGTCCACTGCCCCCCTGAAGGGGATGCTGCTGCTGCAGAGAGCCTGCTGACTCCCCTGCCACCACCAAGATAGAAATAACTGGGGCCATGGGCCTTCGCTGTGTGATGGGGGAATAAATTCGATACTCAGACTGCTATAGCTTCATACCCACAGGTACCCAGAGCTGGACTTGGCCCTTCCAGCAACACTGCCTCCAAGTGAATGCTCCTTCCCTTTGCTGCAGCAGCAAAAGGGGCCTACGAAACTGCCATTAAACTGATTTTATATGCTATGTGTGTGGCCCCTTTGATTGGGGGAGGTTGCTGAATTGTTAACCTGAGAGTACCACCCCTGACTCCTCCCACGCTGCACACTCCACACACCAACACCCTCGGTACAGCAACTGTCCTGGCTTTATTGGGATGCTACGATCACAGCTAAGGGGGTTTCTAGGTGCTACCCCCAGGGCTGTGGATGGGAGAGAAACACCCCATCCTCCAGCAGCTCTTGATACCAAACCAGGCATAAGTCCTCCCGCCCCCCCTGCTGTAAGGAGCTGGCCTGATCCCGGACAAAGCAGCTGGGTCTGCACCCCAGGCTGGGGTGGGGACGGCAGCCCCGACACCCCCTCTACATGGTCCCACATCAGCAGAGTGCACCCTGGGGGCAGCTTGTGGTTCACTGCACAGCAGGGGGCCTCGGCTCCCAGTCCTGGCTCTGATCCAGTGAGGGTTCCTATGGGATCTACTGCAGCTCTGGTCTCCATTGCCCCTCAGAGGCGGTTCAGGCAGCAGCCAGGCCCTCACTCACTGGCATGTTGATATGGGCAGTCAGCAAGGGCATGCTCTGGCCCTCCCGCAACACAAACACCTGCAAGAGAGGAGACAGAGAGCCCCACGCTGAGATGCAGCCACCTCTGGGGTGGGGTGCAGGGACTCTTTATACACAGATCCTTCCCTTGGCACTGAGATGCAGCCACCTCTGGGTCCTACCCCTCCCCCCCCACACACACACAGCAGGAGGGAGGTGGGAGCATTTTAAAGGGTCAGGCATCTCTCTGGGATGGGGTGTCCCTGTACAAACCTTGATGACGTCCGAGATCCCCTTGTCACTCAGACACTCCACAAAGGTTTCAATGGGGTAGTTCAGTCCCGGGACCAGCATAGGGGCCTGTAGGGAGACAAAGCTGAGTTAGTCAGAGTGCAGGAGCCCATAGGAGCGGTCAGAGGTGTTGTGGAGTGGGGGTACCTTGAAGAAGGCTCTCTTCATAGCATAGAGGCTCTGGTCGTAAAGGAAGCTCACCAGCAGGTTGATGGAAGGGCGCCCAGCTGACGTGTTCTGAATGTGGAGGGTCAGTTTGAAGGTGGGGCCGATGCCCTGGACCTGGGGGTAGGGTGGGGAGGGGGTAGATCCTGAGCACAAGTTCAGTGCAAGGGGGAGAGGAGTCCTTGATCCCACAGCCTGGGGTTGGGGGGTTCTCCATCACAGGAGCCACAAGAAAGGTCCCCCTGGAAATCTAAAGAGATGATTGAATCCCAAATCTCACCCTCTCCGTTCCCGACTTCAGCCCAGATCTGCTCAGTGAGCTAGAGGCACATCGCCTCTGGATTGGAAGCCCCCAAGCGATGGAGAGTTCCCTGCTCCCGTTGTTCGAAGGGCAAATCCCTCTCCCTGTTAAACACTGGCTGTGGCTGATGGTGGCTCCTGGCTCTTGCTCAGACTTTGTCTGCGACCTTCATGAACCCCCTGCTCCCACAAATCCCCCCACCCTGCAGAGAGACCGGAATCAAGCCCCCCCCAGGACCTTCTCTCAGAGGAACTCTTCCACCAGGGCTCCCTGAGGCCCAGGGTTTCCAGTCTGGCATTGTTCGCATGGCTCCTCGCTGACCCCTCTCCAGTGGGTCAGTAACCTCGTGGAAGAGCAGCCCCCCAAGTACATGCAGCATCCTGTAGTGGCCTTGCAGGCGCTGTCTGCTGCGCTCCCAAAACCTCCGCCTTGGGCAGCAGAGAAATCAGATGCTTCTCTCCCACCAGTGACCTGCCAAAGCAGGCAGCTTAGTCTAGTGATTAGACCATGAGCTTCAACCTAGAGCCCTGCAGCGGGACTGGGATCCCGAGGGTCCCGCTGCCATAACAGCGGGAGCAAAATTCAAGAAACAATACGGGGGGCAGGATTAAAAAGATATTCCTTCCACACTGCAAACAACATGAATGCCCCAGCCAGCAGGCACCGCTCTCTGGCCGCCCAGCTCTGAAGGCAGCGCTGCCGACAGCAGCAGCGCAGAGCTAAGGGTGGCAGTGGGAACTCTCCCTGCCTGTGCCTGGGGATGGCTTCCAGTCCCCTTTGCATGATGATGCAGGGGCTCTCCAGCCATTTGCATGGAGGGTTAGAGGTTTCTAATCCCTGTGTGTGGGGAAGGGGAGATGCAGGGGCTGTTCATCCCCTTGTAGGGATGAGGATTCCGATCCCTCTAAATGGGGGAGTTGAGAGGGTCAGGGGGTTCCCATCCCATTGCACGGGGTACAGGGAGTAGAAGGGTGCTGGGGGGGAGACATTTGCTGAAAGCAGCACGTTCAGCCATTGCTGGGGCAATTTTAGAGCCCTGCAGCGGGACTGGGATCCCATGGGTCCCACTGCCATAATAGCAGGAGCAGGATAAAAATTCAAGAAACAAGGCGGGAGCGGGCGGGAGTGAGTATTGCAGGGCAGGATGGGAGCAGGATTTAAAAAATAGTCCACACAGGGACAACCCACAGCAGGGAAAACAGCCCAGCCCCATGCCCGCTAGGCCCCCACCCCAAGCTGTGGAGAACCCAGGATTCCTGGCTCCCAGCCTCCGCTTGCACAATCCTGAATTTTCTCACCCCGTCTCCTGGCTCCCTCCAAATGCCCCATACCCTTCTCATTCCAAGGGTCTGGTGTCCCCATGACCCACTCACCACTGCATTCATCTTAATGGGCTCCTGCAGTGTGGATGTGATGGGCGCCAGGCTGGACTCCAGCGCCTTGACATAGGCCCGGGCTGCCATGAGCCGCAGCCGGTACAGGTCCATCTGGAACACGTGGTGCATGGCTGGTGAGGGATGAAGGGACAGTGAGGACAGAAAGTCAGCCTGCAGCAAGCAGCCAATCAACAAGGGGGATCTCTACCAATCACAATGGATCTTGGTTTTACGCCTTATCTACAGCACAGTGCCCCTTAGTGTGGCACTGCGGCATCAGGGTCAGCACCCCGATTGAGCCCCCAACCCTGCTCCCTGCAGCGCAGCGCCCCCTGGGGCATTGGGGCAGCACTGACTGCGGGAAGAGTGCCTGCCACTGAGTCCCCATCCTGCTCCCTGCAGCACAGCACCCCCCAGTGGCTGGCTCGTGCATTTGCACTAACATGCTGATTTGGTAAGTAAATCCCAGGCCAGTGGCTTCTATCTTTCCTATAGTGGATGCTCAGAGTGGGACTGGTGGCTCTATGGCTCGGTGCGTAGGAAGAGACCCATGTTCGGGGGGGGCATGGAAAATGTAGTGGGAGATGCCCCACCTAGCATCCCACCCCCAATCTCCACTCCTCCCACTCATTCCCCTACACTCCCAGCTGCTCCCTCCCCAATCTGCCCACAAGCAGTCCCCCTCCTCAATCCACCATTCCTGCCCCACTCACCCACAGCATTCTCGCGTTCCCGCAGCGTCTGGTCCACGTAAAGCCTGGTCTTCTTGGGCACACTGAGTCGGATGCTCTGGGCCACAGGAGGGCCTAGTGACATGTCCTTCTCCTCAAACACGGCTGTGCGCTTCAGGATCTTGATGATCAGCCCCCCGCCTGGGCAGTAGGATAACCAGGATACAGTACAAATGGGCACAAAGCTCCTGAATCCCCTCTTCCTAGATCAGACCCATGGGCCCATCCCCCGTGGTGTACTGTCTCCAATAGTGGCTGGTCCTGTTAATGCCCCTCGCTGCACCGCACTGTCCCACAGGAGTTGAATTCCTTCCTGACCCACCAGCTGGAGCCCAGCTGATGCCTACAGCCAACAGCATCCCCTGCAGGGTGCATTCAGTATTGCACAGCAGCACATGGAACTGAATGGTGCCCACCCAGCACGCCCCTTGCCCACCTTTACTCGTCATGATCAGGGTGTTGTCCTCACGCCCATAGCGGCCAAAGCAAATACTGGTGACCACATCCTGTGGGGGAGCAAAGGGGGGTGGTAATGGGGTATCAGGCAGCTCGGCCAGTGTCCATAACCACCAGACCCACAATTCTGGCTCCTAGCCTCCTCACTCTAACCCACTAGATCCCATTCCCTTCTCAGAATTAGGGATAGAACCCAAGAGGCCTGGCTCCCAGCCCCCTGCTCTAACCCATGAGACCCTACTCTCCTCCCAAAGCTGGGACAGAGTCCTGCATTAAGAGTCCTGCATTACCCCAGCACTGGCTTTGCCTGATGGGGAAATTACCTGGGTGCGGATGACGTCCACAAGGTTTTTATCCCGGTACATGTGCACCTCCTGGTTGGCCAGACCTACCATCACAGCCTGGAAGCCGCGTGATTTATGATCTAGGAGGCTCATGGTCATCAGTGGGGCTGGCAGATAGACTGTCCACAGCTTCTTCCCCTGTAAGAGAAAGAGATCTGGCACTCAAATGTAGCCATCTCTGGGGTGAGATGCAAGGCTGTTTATCTGACTCTGGGGTGGGGCAGAGGGGCTATTTATACAAGGATCCCTTGTGTGGCACCCCTGTGACACTGGCCCCCTAAGCAGACTAGACTTAGAATAGAGCCATGGAGATCTCCCACTGGCCCCCAGGGAGAGGCGCCTTGGTAACAGGTGGTGTAGGGAGTAGATCTAGGGGCACACAGGTTCCAAGACCTGCCCAGCTGCCCCACCCCTAGTGCCCCGTAGGGGGTGCCCTCACCCACTCCCACCTTCTGTGTATAGCCCTGCAGGGTTTCGTCGGAGCAGCCAGCCACGATATTCTTGTGTACCCGCACCAGCCCCATGGGCTGGGCACTCAGTTCGATGCAGTACTTGGGCCGCTTGGACTCCCTGGAGTGGGAAGGGAGGGCAGACAGGTCAGTGCCAGCCCCCCACAGTGCTTGCTGCCCCACCCAATCCCCTCCTCCAATTCCTGCCTTGTGGGCTCCAGTCACCCTCCCCACCCCCTGCGCCAAGGGAATGGGCACAGACAGGCCTCACCAGCAGGAATGTTACAGCAAAACTAAACCTTCAGGCACTGGGGCCTGGCACTGGTGGCTGTTGGGCAGTGGGGCAGCAGGGAGGCAGAGTATTGGGGTGGGCCCATGGATCTGATTGGAGAGGGAAGGGAATACCAAGCTGGAAAGGACCATAGATCTGATCTGGCGGGAGGGGGAGACATAGCAGGTTCCTTATCTGATGTTCCTCAGCACTCCCCTGCCTTCCCCTTTGTCCCATTCCAGCCCCAAGCACCCCTCACGGCTGGCTGTCACCTGCGGAGGATGTAGATGCTCCCATCCCGGCAGGCCACCGTGACCCGGTACTCCACATCGAACTGCCCCATCACGTCCAGGAAGGCTGGCACGCTTGGCAACGTCATCTGCAACAGCAAATGGAAAGCTGGGGCAGCCCCACACCCGTGGGAACGAGCTATATATGAGCAGGGGTCCCTCGCCTGGTGCTGAGATGCAGCCACCTCTGGGGTGGGATGCGGGGACTGTTTATATAGGGACCCCCTCACCTGGCACCCCACTTACCTTGGCCAGGATAGTGAAGGCTTCAGGGTCCAGGATGAGGACATCGGCGCTCTCCGTCCCAATCACCAGGCAGCTGACCGCGTCCTCATCTGCCATGTTCTTCTTCAGTGTGCTCATGCACGTGATGACAGTCTGGATAGGGAGATGGGCATGAGAGGGGTATGGACCTCTCCCCCTTCCCCAGTCTCCCTCTCTACCCAGGAAGGGCAGTGCCAGTCTCCCCAGAGGGTATGCTGGGAAGGAAGGGTACCCGGAAGGCCCTGCTGGGACCCACAAGTCGTCGGTGGGGAACTGGAAATGCTAGAATACTCCCTTTCTCCAACCCCCATCCCCCTGAGTCCCTTACTCTTGGAGGATCCACTGGGGAGTTTCCCGCAGACCTAGGGCAGGGCAGGACCCACCTGGCGCTTGATCGGTTGCCCCTTATGTAGGTTTACAAAATTCTCCATCTCTGGTACATCTTGGGCCAGGAACCTGGGGGTTGGGGAGACAGAGAAGGGGATTGTGGGATAGTGACACAGCTTGCTCTGGTCCACAGTGTCCTCCGTACCACTTAGAACAGGAGCTCTGCTGCTGAGAGCCTTCCAAGCTTTGGGACAATGTCCCCCCACCCAGCCTATGCTCCCTACACCACCTGCCTCCCCCACTGCTGAAATCCCTCCCCGATCACCCACCCCCCCGGCTTGTGGTCCCTACACCACCTGCCTCCCCCACTGCCAAGATCCCTCCCCGATCCCCGCGCCATGGCTTGTGCTCCCCACACAACCCGTCCCCCCCACTGCCAAGATCCCTCCCCGATCCCTACCCCGCGGCTTGTGCTCCCCACACCACCCATCCCCCACACTGCCAAGTTCCCTCCCAGATCCCCACCCACCCTTGGCTTCTGCTCCCCACTCCCCCTGCCTCCCCACTGCCAAGATCCCTCCCTGATTCCCACCCCTCCAGCCTGTGCTCCCTACACCACCGGGCTTCTCTGCTGCCAGGATCCATCCCTGACCCCTGCACACCCTCTAGCCTCAAGCTTCCTGCTCCAATCCCTGAAAAAGCTGGGTTCCTAGAGCTCCCAGCCCAGGGTTTTGGTGCTAGCCAGGAAATCGCTGGAGGGTGAGGTGCTCATGCCACTCCCTGCCCTCAGTGGTACCATATGGTCTTACCTCAGTGATCGTACCGACAGGGGGATCTCCGCCTTGTCCCTGACACACGAAGATGTTGAACAGAGAGGAAGACATTGGACAGAAACTCAGTATGATACATTCACCATCACAGACCCTACCATCCACAACCCAGAACAGAACACAGGAGTCCTGATTTCTCACTCACTTTACCGTAACCACTAGATCCCACTCCACTCCCAGAGCTGGGGATAGAACCCGGGAGTCCTGGCTTTCAGCATGTCCAGCTCTAACCTCAAGGATCTCCCCAGTGTCCACACCCAGGGATCGAATGTTAAATGCCTCTGGCATTAGCTCCCATCACTTGCTAAGCCAGGGACCAGGATGGAGTTTCTGGGCGGTGTGGTGATGTGACAGTCCATGGTGGAAAGGAAGAGCCACTCACCGGATCCCCTCCAGCATTTCCTTCAGAGTCAGGGGGTCGATCATGTCCTGGAACGAGATGCAGACAGAGAGAGATGGGAAGGCACATGACTACAAGCTGGGAATAGAACTCAGGCATCCTGGCTCCCAGACTCTGTATTCTAACCACTGGACCCCACTCCCAGAGCTGGGTCTGATGTGGAGTGCCAGGGAGGGGTGGGCCCATTGGTTTGATGTGGGGCAGGGGTGCGGACAGGTACCTTGGGCTGGCCATGCCACCCCCAACCTGCTCACCTCTTTGGCCTGCTCCCAGACATCCTGCTCCAGGGGGTTGGCATCCAGGGGGGGCAGGGTGAATTTGAAGTAGGGCCGCAGGTTCTTGTAGACATAGATGAATGGTCCGGAGGCCACGGCCACGGCAGGCGTGCGTGGCTCATTCTGGTCCATTAGGAAGGTGGTCACGGCAGCCGGCAGGTCCAACAAGGTGCTCTCGCTGGCCAGCCCCGTGCCCCGGTACACCTTCAGCCTCATGGTGTGTCCAGCCATGCCCAGGTCACCCACCACCAGCTGGGGGGTAGACAGAGACAGAAGGGTAGTGCTGGGGGGTCCTCACCCCCCACCCCAGGGCAGCTCCCACCTGCTGGGCTGGGCATGGACACCCTCACTACCCCTTGCCCAGAGAGGCAACTGGCCCAGAATGCTCACCCCCACCCTGAATGCTTTCCCCCACCCCGCCCCAAGAGACACACTCCCCATCCAGATGCTGTTTGCCCCTGGGGGGTTAGCCAAAGCCAGGGTGGAGTATGGGGGATACCAGGCCCAGGGGGCTGATCTGGGAGGTGGTGGAGGGGTGAGATACCAGGTTGGGTAGGCCCATTGCCTGGGGTGGGCAGGCAGGCCATCCTTCCTCACCTTGTACTCTCCATCGCCATGCAGGTCAGCCAGGGCTGGAACAAAAGAGAGATGTGGAGTCAGCATCCTTGATAACCTCCCCCCGGCTCAGCAGGTCCAGCCATGCCCAGTATCTGCATGGGAGACCAAGGGGATGCTCTCCCCTCCCAGTGAATACTAACCACAGTGCCCCAGCATGATGCCAGGGGGCACTGTGCTGCAGGGAGTTTGTGGGGGTGGGAGTAGTAGGAGGTGTTCTCTCCTCGCAGATGTGCTGGCTCATTCCATACCAACTGTGGAGGCTTGTGCTCCAGAGCCATGTAATAATTTGAAGGACTTTGAGGTAAAAGGGGCTCTGGAACCATGGAGTGTAAAAGCATCACTGCGAGCCAGGACTCCTGGGTTCTATCCTCAACTCAAGAAGGCAGACCATCTAGCCACTATGCTCAGTGCTCTGTAACCACAGGGCTGTGTCTATCACTGCTGTGTGTCCGGTTTCCCTCTGGAATGCTCTCAGCAGGGTCCCACAAATGTCCATAGTGGCATGGAAAGTTGGGGGATATGCCCTAGGGGAGAGTGTCTGAGACCCCTGTAATGGGTGGCCCTCCACTGGCCCTAGCTAGCGTGAGCCCAACAGTATTAGTCATTATCCCTATCAGCACAGCTCCCATCTATCTCCCCCTCCCAGGGATGTTAGTGGTGGACAGGAGGAAGACAAGGTGCCATAGAATTGATTAGAGAGACAAGGTATTGGACCAACTTCTGTTGGTGTGAGAGACAAGTTTTCAAGCTACACAGAGCTCTTCCTCCGGTGTGGGAAAGGTACTCTGAAAGCGTGTCTCTCTCTCTCACCAGCAGAAGTTGGTCCAATAAAAAAATATTCCCTCCCCTACCTTGTCTCGCTAATATCCTGGGACTGACACAGCTACATCTACACTGCATACAACAATTAGAAGGGATTACACAGGGTCCTGGCAGCCGGGGCTGCTTGCTATACGCTACAGTTAGTTATTTAATTGTAATCCGAGGCAGGCTGGGAACCAAGCTTCTAACCTCAGCTTTGGGAGGTGAGTGGAGTCCAGGAGGTTAGAGCTCGGGGCTAGAACACGTGGGTTTATCCCCAGTTCTGGGAAGGGATAATGTAGACAGTTATAAGGTTTTCTTCCCAGCATTATCAGGAAGGCAACAGCTGCTTTCCAGTGAGTCCTTGGAGGACCTAGAGATGTGGAGCTGGGGTTCTGTCACTGAAGAGTGGGAGCGGGTTAAATCTTTAACGGAGAACACTTTCCTGCCAACCGGGCATCAGGCCTCAGACTTAAATAAGCTTCAGACCATCCCCTTCATTGCCTTTCCCTGCGTTTGTAAGTTCCACATCCTGTTTGCTGTGGCTGGGTGTTTCACACACTCACTGTGAGAGAGAGGCGACTATGGAGAGAACAAGAGCTCCCATCCCCATGAGTGTTAACAAACCTGGGTGGGAGGGAGGGGAGAGTTTACTTCGTATTCCCAGGGTTGACATCCCATGTACCTGTACATAACTATGCTTTGCCATCTGCCAGCACCACATGAGCTTAAGTGACCTTGAGAAGAGCTTCCTTTGCAAGGTACCTCACTAAGTTATTGATGGAGAATGTGGGGGCCAGATAAGGGAAGGGACTTATCTAAGCACCTACAGAGACAATATGGCAGGAACAGAACCCAGCTGTTTGGATTCTCAGCACCCCACCACCCACACATTATAACCACTGGAATAGAAACTAAAAGTCCTGATTCCCAGTCCCCCTCCAATCTAACCACTAGCCCTCACGCATCTCACAGAGCCAGAACTCCGGGCCCTTTTCCCCCTCCCTCCCCACCTCTAACCACTCCATGGGCCTCCCACCCAGGAGAATCCCACTGGACCATTCCCCAGCTCTCTCAGCTAAGGGCACTTTATGGGAGGATCCTGGACTTACCGATGCAGGAGGAGAACGTGTAGAGATTGGCCATGGGGTCGTAATGGGCATCCAGCCATTTGGAGTTGGCTTCATTACTGGAGGGGGATGTGGACAGGGTAGGGACACAAAGAGACAGGTAGACACAGAGCGACAGTGAGAAACTGGGATAGATTTCAATCAAAAAAAAGGAACAGAAATTCCAGCAGCCCCAATCCCTCCCCATCTGCTCTCACCACGGGACCCCACTCTCCTCCTGGAGCTGGGATAGATCCCACGAGTCCTGGCTCCCAGCCCCTCCCCTATGCTAACCACTAGTCCCCACTCTCCTCCCAGAGCTGGGATAGAACCCAAGAGTCCTGGCTCCCAGTCCCTCCCGTATGCTAACCACTGGACCCCACTCTCCTCTCAGAGCTGGGATAGAACCCAGGAGTTCTGGCTCCCAGTCCCTCCCGTATGCTAACCACTGGACCCCACTCTCCTCCCAGAGCTGGGATAGAACCCAGGAGTTCTGGCTCCCAGCCCCTCCCCTACGCTAACCACTGGACCCCACTCCCCTCCCAGAGCTGGGATAGAACCCAGCAGTCCTGGCTCCCAGCCCTCCCCTACGCTAACCACTGGACCCCACTCCCCTCCCAGAGCTGGGATAGAACCCAGCAGTCCTGGCTCCCAGCCCCTCCCCTACGCTAACCACTGGACCCCACTCCCCTCTCAGAGCTGGGATAGAACCCAGGAGTCCTGGCTCCCAGTTCCTCCCCTACGCTAACCACTGGACCCCACTCCCCTCCCAGAGCTGGGATAGAACCCAGCAGTCCTGGCTCCCAGCCCGTCCCCTATGCTAATCACTGGACCCCACTCCCCTCCCAGAGCTGGGATAGAACCCAGGAGTCCTGGCTCCCAGTTCCTCCCCTACGCTAACCACTGGACCCCACTCCCCTCCCAGAGCTGGGATAGAACCCAGGAGTCCTGGCTCCCAGCCCCTCCCCTACGCTAACCACTGGACCCCACTCCCCTCTCAGAGCTGGGATAGAACCCAAGAGTCCTGGCTCCCAGTCCCTCCCGTATGCTAACCACTGGACCCCACTCTCCTCTCAGAGCTGGGATAGAACCCAGGAGTTCTGGCTCCCAGTCCCTCCCGTATGCTAACCACTGGACCCCACTCTCCTCCCAGAGCTGGGATAGAACCCAGGAGTTCTGGCTCCCAGCCCCTCCCCTACGCTAACCACTGGACCCCACTCCCCTCCCAGAGCTGGGATAGAACCCAGCAGTCCTGGCTCCCAGCCCTCCCCTACGCTAACCACTGGACCCCACTCCCCTCCCAGAGCTGGGATAGAACCCACGAGTCCTGGCTCCCAGCCCCTCCCCTACGCTAACCACTGGACCCCACTCCCCTCTCAGAGCTGGGATAGAACCCAGGAGTCCTGGCTCCCAGCCCCTCCCCTACGCTAACCACTGGACCCCACTCCCCTCCCAGAGCTGGGATAGAACCCAGCAGTCCTGCTCCCAGCCCGTCCCCTATGCTAATCACTGGACCCCACTCCCCTCCCAGAGCTGGGATAGAACCCAGGAGTCCTGGCTCCCAGTTCCTCCCCTACGCTAACCACTGGACCCCACTCCCCTCTCCCAGAGCTGGGATAGAACCCAGCAGTCCTGGCTCCCAGCCCCTCCCCTATGCTAACCACTGGACCCTACTCCCCTCCCAGAGCTGGGATAGAACCCAGGAGTCCTGGCTCCCAGCCCGTCCCCCGCTGGGAAGAGGATCACAGTCATTGCCACCCCCAGCTAACCAGGCCCAGGAAAGAGGGGTTCAGGGGTCACCAACACCCCCCTCACCTCTCGCTGCTGGAGGAGGAGGAGGAGGTGGCCGCCATATCCTGCTCTAGGACGGGCAGGATCTGTTGCTACGGCAACCAACGGCTGTGGATGGGAGTTACTGGAAAACAGTCCCCTAGCCAGATACGGTGTCTCACTCAAAAGGGCCCTTCCGGGGGAGACCAACCCTAGCAACTCAGGGTTCCGGATGTGTGGGGACTGTCTCCGCCCCGCCTCCCACCCCACATCTACCCCCAGTGAATCTGGGGCGCGCGGCGACACGGGGCGGGAAGACAGCAGAGCAGCTCCTGCAAGGGAGGAGTCACCCCAAGAGCCTGACTTCCACCTGGATCCAGCCTCCAAGGGAGATGGTCCCCCTAGGAGCTGTGCTGGGACCCCCAACTTGACTGCCCCACAGTACAGGCTCCAGTGCCAGCGTCCCCAGGAGGGGAAAGGCCCTGTATCCCATACCCCTGCACCAGCCAGTCCCTCCCACAGCCCTGGGCCCTGGTCAGAGCCAGCAGCCCCTTCCCCTGCCCCCTTAGCCAGCCAGGCCACTCTCTGAAACCGAGAGGCTGAAATGCACTGGTCTGGCCCCTGGAGATCCCAGCTGAGCTGAGTCCTGGGCCCAGATGCTTCTGCAGGAAGAGGATCACGCCCTGTGACATGATAGGAAAGGGACATGCAGGAGATATTAACCATCCTTTGGGAGGGGAGTGGGGTCTGATGGGTTAGAGCAGGGGTAGGGCATGCTGGGATCCAGAGTCAATAGAATTTAGGGCCAGAAGGGACTAGCACAGAGGTGGGCAAACTACGGCCCGCGGGCCACATCCAGCCCACAGGACCGTCTTGCCCGGCCCTTGAGCTCCGGGCCGGAGAGGCTAGAGCCCAGCTTCTCCCCTGCTGCCCCCCCTCCCCCACAGCCTCAGCTTGCCGCCATCGCTCTGGCCCGCTACTCCTGCCGGGCAGCTTGGCGGCATGGCTGGCTCTGGCCGGGCAGCGAGCTCCTGCTGCTCTGAGCAGCACGATAAGGGGGCAGGGGACCCCGGGGGCAGGCAGGGGACAGGGAGTGGTTGGGGCGGGGGGCAGTCATGGGACGGGGAACAGAGAGGGTTGGACAGGCATGGGAGTCCACGGGGGCCTGTCAGGGGGCAAGAGTGTGGATAGGGGTTGGGGCTGTCAGGAGCCGGGGTGGAGGGGTTAGGGGCGGCAGTGTGGATAGGGGTCGGGGGGAATCAGGAGACAGGGAGCAGGGGGAGTTGGATGGGGGTGGGGTCCCAGGGGGGCAGGCAGGGAGTCCCAGGAGGGGGCAGGCAGGGGACAAGGAGCGGGGGGGGGGGTTGGATGGGGCAGAAGCTGAGTGGGGCAGTAAGTGGGAGGGGGCAGATAAGGAGCAGGGGCCAGGCTGTCTGGGCAGGCACAGCCTTCCCTACCCGGCCCTCCATACAGTTTCACAACCCTGATGTGGACCTCGGGCCAAAGTTTGCCCATCCCTGGACTAGCAGATCATGTAGTCTGACTTCCTATCACAGACTGTTAAATCTCACCCAGTTTCTCCTGTATGAGGCCCCAAGATTTGAGAGACTAAAGCATTTCAGCCATCAGGAGACTAACCTGTTGTAAGCCCCAGAGAACCAGTGAGGCCCCCCCCAATACGCAAATTCCCTGTGATGACAGGGAATTGCTGAGATGAGCCATGCCCAGCTGATCCCAGGAGGCGACCCATGCCCTATGCTGCAGCCGAAGGTGGAAAAGCCCCAAGGTTCCTGCCAATCTGACTGGTAGAAATCCCTTCCTGACCCCAAAAATGGTGATCAGCTGCACCCCAAACATCTGGGTAAGACCCTCAGTCAAGCATCTGAACAAGATTCTCAGAGCCCAGGCCACCCATCCGCTGTCCCATCTTCAGCTGTGGCCACTCCCTGACACATCAGAGGAAAGCGGGGGGAAAAACCCCAGATAAATCTGTCCACTTGTGCATGGAAGAAAAAATTCCTTCTTGATCTACTACTTGATCGACTGGCTGAATCCCTGATTACAGTAATTTAACTGCAGACCTGCAAACATTAGGGGTGTGTTGCAGGCAAGGCTGCTCTCCCCGTAGTCCCTGAAGAAAAGGAATGAACAGGGGGATTCAGAGATTCCATGGCCAAAACTGACTACCACACCCTTCCAGCACACAACGGCTGTATCATTTCTCCCAGGTGCTGGATTAAAGTAAGATGTCCCGTTAAAGCCTCCAAGCGATGGTGAATCCCTCCACTTCCCCAGGGAAGCCCTTCGAATGGCTGTGGAAATTGCTTCTGAGATCAAAGTTAAATCTGTCTAAATTCAACTTCCAGCCATTGGGTCTTGCTAGATCTTTGCAGCAGTGGTGAAAAGCTTCCACTACTTGCTCTCTTTTCCAAGTGTAAGTACCTACTACACAGAGCGATCAAGTCAGCTCTTGCCCTTCACTGTGATCAGCTGAATAGACTGAGCTCATCATGCATCCCCTCATGAGGCTTGTTGTGCAACCCTGGCTCATTTTTGTGGCCCTCCTTTGAACGTTCCACACCCTACTGAAAGTGTGTATATCGGAGCCAGACACAGCATTCGAGCAGCAGTTACACTGACACTGGGGGCACAGGCAAGACCATTCCCTGCTACTCGCGATCACGTTAGCCCTTTTGGGCGCAGGGCTGCATTGGGAGCTCATATTGAGGCAATTATCTGTGATGCCAGCTACGTCCTTCTGAGTCCCTTCCTGAACCTGCATTGTTGGCTCCCAGACATACTACCTTGAATTTGTATGTACTGAAACTTCTCAGGGTTCTCTGGGAGGGGAGGGGTCAAGTGGTTAGGGCAGGGGGAACTGGGAGCCAGGACTCTTGGGTTCTATGCCCAACTCTGGGAAGTAACTTGTTGTGGTGGCTTGTGTGGGTGGAGGGGAATGGGAGCCAGGACTCCTGGTAGAAAAGTTGTGGGGAGGGAGTCAGACACTAAGGCCCATTAAACCATGTGCCATTTTGCTGAGGCTGTGATGAGGAGCCCCATTAATGCTCATTTGGGACGAGCTCCCCAACTCTTGTTTGACACATCAGACGCAGCAGAGAGAGATGAGAGGCAGGTACAAAAGCTGAGTGTATTGAGTTTCCGGTGCAGCGTGCGGGGCCGGGGTTGGCTCTCCCTGTTCTCAGCCCTGGCTTGCCCAGAAGTGGGCGTCGCTGTCCGACAGCTCCAGCAGATGGCGCTCCAAGAGCTCAGTATCCTCAGGGAATCGCTCAGAGAAGGAGCGGATCAATCCGGCCGCGGTACCCTCGTACTGCACCAGGGTCACATCCTCGCCTGGGAAGAAGGGGGGGAGACAGGGTCATGGCATTGCCCTCATCACAGCCCCCCACCTAACCTTCACTCCCCCCCCCCCACACACAGGTCATGTCTCATGTCCTTGCCTCCTGAGGGAAAGGGGGGTAAGACGAGGTCCCGGTGTTTCCCTCACAGCCCTCTGTATTGCACCCACTCCAGCTCCTGTACCCTTCCACCTGCCCCTGCCTTGTCACTCCACGTCGGTCACCCCTCACTGGCTCCAATCTTAGCCCACCATGCCTTCTCGGAGCCCTCTCCACCTGCACCTGGCACCAAGGCCCCACGGGTCTGAACTCCCAGCTGGCACAGGACTGGGGTAAACCAGGGCTCAGCTTGGCCTGCAGCTCAGGGGTCTAGTTACCCGAAGGGGGCAGCAGGGGTGGGAGTTGTGGGGCAGAACTGTACCCACCACGTGAGTGTCACCCCAGAGCAGGGTGCACGGGGCACTAGGGGGACTCCATACCCTCCAGGCAGTGTTACCCCATAGGGAGGTGGATAAAAGCCTGGGGAGTGCCGGGGGATTCCATACCTTCCAGGCGGGTGTTGGCCTGCACAAACATTTTGCGTGCCTCCTTGCGTAGCAGCACGGTGTCCCGCAGGCTCAGGAATCTCTCCGGCCCCTCGTCTGTCACGGCTGAGAAACCCTCGTAGAGCGCCCGGCCCCCCGCCACATCTGCCGTCGACTTCAGCACCTGCAACACAAAGGGGGCTGAGACCCAGCCAGCCTTCCCCCCCCCAGCGGAACCCCCCCGTACACCCACAACACAGCCACGGTCCCACCACCCCTACCATGATCCCCCTCACAGCAACAGCACTGCCTCATTGAGCCCCACCGTCGAGTAGCGCAGCACCCCTATTGGGGCCAGCACTGACTGTGAGAGGAGAGAGCCCCCTACTGAGCCCCCAGCTTGCGCCCTGCAGCCCTGCCCCGCCCCTCACCTGCAGCCTGAGCAGGAACCGCTCGATGGCCGGCTTCCCCACAGGCAGGATCTTGTTGCGGTTGAGAGTGATGAGTGCATCGGGTTTGCCGTCAGCGCCTGTGGTGTGTTGCAGCGACACCAGCCCCTCGCCCGCCTCCAGCAGCACCCGCAGGATCACAAAGCGCGCCTGCATGTGAGCCTGGGGGAGAGCAGCAAGGTGCCGTGATGAGCCCAGGAGTCCTGGCTCCCAGCCCCCCTCCGCTCTAATCCACTAGATCCCACTCCCCGCCCAGGGCTCAGATAGAACCCTGGCTCCCCCGAGCCCTGCCACACCCCCCCCAGAGGAAGAGTCAAAGGCTGTCCTGCCTCCTTTTAAAGGGCCAGTGCCCCCCTCCACCCCCAGCTCACCTGGCGCCAGGTGCCAGTCTCAGGGGTGTAGAACTCCAGCCCTAGCAGCCCAGCCCGCACCATGTTCAGCCAGTTGATGTAGATCACATCTTCCGCATCCTCGCCTTCCAGCTCAAAAATCCTGTCGGGGGCAGGAGGAGGGAGTGAGGAAGGCCCACTGGGGAACCCCCAAACTCCCCCCCCACACACTTCTAGATAAATCTCTGTATTAAGTATCTTCACATAACTCTCATATGCCTTTGTATTATGCCTCTCCATATAACCTTGTATTAAGCTATTTTCATACAACTTTGTATGAAGTCCTTTGATATTGGAACTTTGTAGCAGATCCCTATATAGAAAACTTTGTATTAAGTCTTGGTCTAATGTTATAGCCCCTAAGGATAGTTAAAGTAGAAGAAAAATGTCTTTTTGCTAGGAGTAGAATAAGATTTCCCCCCCGACTCTTTTTGCCCTGTTGAATGAATGAGGTGTGAATGAGT